TAATAATGGCTAACGTATGTGATGTATTTCCATCTTCCACCTACGCTATATGTATAACCCATTACTATATTTTTGTTTTTAGTATTATAATATCAGACATGGAAAAAGGCATATCATGAGTCCTGCGTTGTTGAGAAATCAAATGTATGCATAAACAAACAGTCGCATTCCTAGAATGAAATAACTGTCTTCAAAATATCAAATTTTTCCGCAATAATAGCAAAGTAAACAAATGTGAAATAACACAAATAAAGTCATAAATCGTGTAATACAAATATCATAGTACGCATCCATCCGAATAAACATAAATAAAGTCCATATGACGAACAACTGGACATAAAATCTAAATACGACCTAATCTAGAAGAAAAACATCAGTGCGGTCGACCATGATAACCCGCACATTTACTCTGATCGTGCTCAAATGGTGACAGCATGCATGTAAACCTAGCTTGTCTGAGGGGGTTTCTCTGAAACTCATCAGCATCAGCAGCACCTGCAACAGCAGCATTAGCAACAGGAGCCGCAGTAACAACATAATCCTCATCAGCCACCTCCCCCATAATCCTCATTTTTTGAATTTCACAAATGAGGAATTATTCATTATTCTGTGCATAAAATTTACAAACATCAAGGTCCGGATCAATTGTGGGGTATATGATCATTTGAATACGTTCATAGAGGACATAATCATAGGTTCTCACATTTGATGAATAGAATCACAACTGTTAAATAACGTTGAGCACTTTATTTAGGCTGCAATATTTTATAAAATGATTTTGTATGAATCATTGAAAAATATTTGTTTATTAACATTCACATTAAAAGGATCAATGAGGGATGTTATTAAGGTTATTTTTCTGTTACAAGGTATCAAATCTCTAGTTAATTATAGTTATGTGATTGCTCTTAATCCTGAGTTTATTATAAATAGGTAATTAAATAGTTTCCACTCTTTGATTTACCAACGGGTTAGGTTTGATCTTTTGACGGCCAGTAATTCAATACTTTGGGAGTGAGATTATTTGATTATCAGTATTTATATGATAAACAACATGGAATTTGTAGGATATGTCCCTTTGATATATTTCAGTACTTGAATATTGAAGACACTAGTCAGTGCTGTAATCAATTAGAGAAACTATCATAGTCAAGAGAATAAATAATTGATTGAGTATAGAAAACTAATCAATCAATTATTGACATTAAGGGTAAAGAGAGTTATTAGTGTGTGGACGACTGGAGGCAAGTCTGACTAATGTGCTTAGAACTTTACACAACATGGTGATGGTGAGGAATGAAATGAGATATGAGGGTGTTCCTAATAGATTTCATGGAGGTTGGAGAAACAAAAACTCCTCGGAGAATGATGAAGCGAGTAATAGAGGATGGAACACCGGCGAGAGGAAATTGGAACTCCTTACTTTCTCAAGCGAAGATGTTTAAGACTAGCTCCACCGTGTGGACAAATATTTTGCCCTCACTATACGAGCTTATAAGAGGCAGAGGTTCAAAAAAAGGTCAGCCCAACAAAAGAATGTTGAAATGGTTGATCCAGACTATCAAGGAAGTAATGAGAAGAGTGTGACAAGGATGGTTTCAGGAGAAAATACGAAAATGGAGTTAGTTAAAGAGAGAAAATAAAAGGACAACTGGTAGCTTTTGAATGGAGAAGGAGATATGGTGGAGCAGGAAAACATTGTGTAAGGAAGTTATAGTGGGGTGAGAACAACATGGGGAATGAGAGAAGAAAATAATCAAGTAAAGGGTATAGGAAAAGGGGAACTTTGCAAATAGGTAGGCGTTTGTGGGGGACTAAGATTGAAGGTTCAGATATCTACATCTACACTTGAAGATGTGTTCTCTTATGCTTTTTCATTTCATTGTAATTAATGGGTCTTGTGAATAGTGGAGTCTACTTCTTCATTACTGTTAATAGAATCTATATTTCCTTGTCACTATGTTATAAGTTGGAGACAAGAACCTTAGTATATATTAGTGTATTTAGTGTAAGTAAATTTGTCCAAGTTGAGTCTATAATTGATTACAGGTACTATTGAAAATCAAATACAATGTATTTGCTATTTTCTTAATTAGTAAGTTCTGATTGATTGATGTTATTGGTCTTTTCCTTTGGATTGTGGGTGTTGAATTATCACAACAATAGCAAAGGTGCCATCAAAATCCCAATAAGCAAAAGAAAATCTTCAACAAATTTTGGTCTTTATTGTGCCAAAGACGTAGAGAATGGTTCATCTTGCAGACCATCTGTGATGAGATGTAAGGAAACTTAGGAATCCAAGTGTTTTACCAAGAGTGCTTCATCAAAAAAACCTTTTTAGATAATCTTGCATTGATTCGTGAGATCCTTATTTAACTATTTTAGAGCATGGGTTGATTTGTACTGCACCTTGCTGGTGGAAAATCTTACCAAGAATTGGTTGCCGAGATCTTCCCAATTATTGATAGAGTTGCTTGGTAAGGCAAAGTACCATCTCAAGTCTACTTCCTTCAAAGAGGTGGGAAAAAAATGATAACTGACAACATCAGGGATATCTTTGGTGATTTTAAAATCTTTGGAGATGGGTAGATCCATGATTTGAGAGGTGAAAAGATGGGCTACTTTTGAGGTTATTTTTTGGATTTTGATGGAAGTTTTGATCAACAAGATGGTTGGCGACATGGCTGTTATGGGTTGATAGTTGTCTATTTTCTTTTCATGTTTTTGAAAATGTTGCTTTTGTGATTATTCTGGTTGCCCATCATGCTGGTCATTGCATATGATTTCTCCTCCTAGTTTGAATGTTTTTCATGATTAGTTTGTAACCCTTTCAATTCTAGTAGTTATTTATGCTGATCCTCAAGCCTCTGGCCTTGTTGCTTAAGGAGCTCAAGCATCTGCTGATTGGTGACCGCGAGCTATTGATATGATGGTGGGTTATTTTGTTGAGGAGGGGTTGGAGAGATAGATGAAGTTTTCCTCCTCTGAGATGTCTGGCGTCTCTAATTCTTGTTTTTGGATTTATTCTAGAATTTTGTCATCTTGCTCTTGGTGTCAACTATGCTTTTATTTATTTGGAGTGGGAGTCAAATTTATCGTTTCCCATAGATGGCGTAAATGATCAGTCCAATAACAATTAAGTTATATCACACACGGTTGAGCCTGGTATTGAGACGAAGGGTTGAGTTGAGTGAAGCTTTGCGAGATAATTGAGAGTAAGTGAGATAAGTTTGCTGCTCCTGCAAGATTGTTGAGCTAGTGTGCTAGTGTTTAGACAATTTGAGGAGACTGGATGGGGATACTTTCAAGGTACTTCGATACTCAAATCAGTTTAGTATTCAAGTAGTTCATGTATTGATGGATAAATGATCCTTCTTAGGCTGAAAATCCATGTATTTATAGTGGAAGGAGGTCTTGCTCTTGTTGCCTTAGTATGGAAATATTTATTCTTATTAGTTGGGAGAGTAGCTTTTGCAGAACCACTTTTTTGGGTACTACAAGCTTTATCTTATTATTCCCTTTATTTTTGTTTCACATAGCCAATATTAAATCATGGGCTCTATATCTCTCGTGTCCTACAACAACTAAACACATTATCTTAATGAAATAAAGGAAGAAAGAAAAATTTAAAATAAAATAATAAAATAATGTGTTTAGTTAGGACAGGAAGAGAGGAGAGATATATAGTTATATACCCCTTAATTTTTTATTTATTTTTTGGCACTGAGATGGGAGACCTACTATATATACTAAGTAACTGGACTGGACAGTTGAATCAATTCACCGATTTTATGACCTCAACTGGTTAGTAAATATAAAAAGGGGTTGATGGCTCTCCTGTAGCAGAAAAATACCATTTCTCTCCGGCTGAGAGAAAAAATGGTGGAGCCCACCTAAATTTAAAAACAAAAAAAGAAATGCACGACTTTTTATGGTGAAAGCAGAAGAAAGATTAATTTTACCATGAGACTTTGATTTCCCATATACAAAATATTCTTTGTCTCTAGGTGAAGATCTAATATACATATTGAGGAAAAAATATGACATAAACCACTAAGCCTCAGTTATGTGTTAATTATAATACTATATTATTGTATTTATTACATTTTATAACATACATGCTTCAATCACGGTTCTTTCCTAAATGATTGATTGGTCTAGATTTCAAAATATTGGTTTAAAGTAGACAATTATTAAAAAAAAATGAAAAAGTGTGTCTTTTTAAATGACCCAATTTGTGTCGTTTCACTTTTACAAAGAGATAAGACCACATCTTTTTTTTGTCCACTTTCTCTCTTGTATGATCTATTTCTTTCTCACTTAAAATGACATAATTTTACATTGTTTAAAATGACACTTTTCCCAAAAATACTTATCATTAAGGGACGCTTGGTAAAGGAGATATTTTTTTGTTCCGGAAAATATCCTAGGATAGTGAATTTCCTTTAAATATTATCAAAAAGCTATTTAGTAGGTTAACCTTTGATTGGTTGATTGTAAATGATTATTGAAGATGTGAGTTAATTTTACAAAACTAACATTTGATAAATTTTTGAAACAAAAATTCTAATATGCTACAAAATGGTCAAAACACAACGTTGGGGATCGAATCCAAATTTTCCAAATAAATTTAACCGTTCTCAAACTAGTTTCATTATCAAGCCATAACAAAATATCACAGCTAGAGTTTTAACAACAGAGAATATTTTAATTATGAAAATATTAAAACAATGTTATTTATATCTTATAAATTATGTAAATTTTCCTATCAAATGAAAATCCAATAATATCCATCCATCTAGTGATATTATTTTAGGAAATTCTGATTCACAATTTTAATTTCCAAAAATTTTATTTTCCTAAATTTTTTTAAAAAATCTTGGTACCAAACATGGGTAACTAAGATTCCCAATATGAGCTTCCTGAAAATGTAAAATTTATCTCCACCAAACGTCCCTAAAGCTTTTATACATCCCAAAAGGAAAACCATTCCTCACCAGTTTAATGACTTAACAGATATAGATAAAAAAATTACCTACCAATAAAGCATATAATACATATTTTTAGTACATCCTAAAAGGAAAACAAAAACTAGCCAAAATGGAGAAGTTATTTACACCCATATAAAATAAGTAAATTCCTAACCAAGAAGCAATGAACAAGCCGTTTGTACAGTTGTAGGTATACATGTAAAAATGGACCTAAGGACTAATATATGCTCTTGGACAAAAAGAAACTGACATTTACCGGTAAAAGACAAAGATTTCCATCTTTTCTACTAGTTTTATGTCACTTCTCCTCTTAGTGCTGAAGCAGCTCTATGAATAGCCCTGGCAACCCTCCAGATCTCATGCTGAATTGCTACAAGTCTTTCTTTTTCACTCATTTTGATCGCCCTAGACATAGAGTCAGCGATTCCAGGGAAGAAATCCAATTTGCTTTCATGATCGCTAGGAGGTCCAAAAACCTGTACATGAGAACAAAAAATGTTGTTTATCTCCCTATACCAAGCATGATAGACTAGTACAATGCAATAATACAAAGTAAACTACTTATTAATTGAATGAAGAAATATCAAGCAACAGAAGGGGATCTCTCGCAAGTATGGTGCTTAACATAAACTTACAATCATGCAGCAGCGGATCCAAAAAATATTATTTATGTGACATTTAGTAATGGAGGTTCAGGACAATGTCTTCGAATTTTTTTTTAAAGAAAATTTTAAATGTATTAAAAAAACAAAAGAATATAAACAAAAAAAGAAAAAAAAACTTGAACTTACTACAAAAATAAAGTACCTTTTGGGTCCCCAATAAAATTTACAAGACCCAATTTAATCTCTTAGGAAAAAAAAAAATTTGACTCGTGATCTCTCTGAATTTCAAAATAAACCCATGTTAGTCTTTTTTAGGGATTAATGTAAGTCTCCTTTGAATTGCAGAGGGACTACGATTTCAACTAACCGGATCTATTTTGAAATTGAGAGAGATTGAGAGTCAACTTTTTTTTTTAAAAGTTTGAATTGGGCATGTAATTTTTGTTGAGGACTCAAAATATATTTTATTTTATTTTCCAAAAATTTATGTGTGCGCTTGCACACACTTGCAACAACAAAAGTCCGCCGATGCAATCATGTGTGTTTCAACAGACAACTAGTATATTAAGAGCATCAAATCTAATATAACGTCTAGAAGATCCAGACACAATATATAGGCCACACCCTAGCACAATAAAAATCACATTTTGATGAAGAACAAAAAAATACTATGTTGCCCCGAACTTGGATGTTGGTAAGGATGAATGACAAGAATGCACGAACATGAAATGTTGCTAGATCTCCAAGCAACTAAATTAATCATATCCCTCATTCCGTTTGTATTTCACAAAACTACAAGTTTGAGTAAGTAATAATTGCCAAACTATAGAAACAGTGAGGGGATAAGGAGCAAGCAATATAATCATCAAGTCTACAGCAAGATTTTCAATTCCAAAATGATGATAGAAGTTTCCACAAAGCCGTTGGACTATATTAAGTCATAAGAGAGATCACATTTTTCTAATTGGTTCATGAAAACTTTTAATCAGCATTTTAAAGACATTGAAGGCAGACAACTCACAAGATGCTTGAACCATTTCCTTCCTCGAAGTCCAGCCGCATCCAAGAAGCCTTTTTCAGCAAGCATTAGTCTATCATTCAATGCCCGTTTTTTCATATCTAAAAAACGATCTGATGCTTCTTGCGATCTCAGAGTCTGCAGTTCAGAACAAAGACATATATGAGAAGATAAGATGGCAGTTTTAAATATTAAATAATATCAATACATGACCACCAGTTGCAGTTCTGATTTTACCTTTGATTCATCATCAGCTTCTTTGGCAGCAGAAGCAAATTCTTGAATTGAGATAGTCAGTGGATGTAGAGAAATCCGCTCATCTAACAAATTGCTCAATATGTTATTGTACACCTGCCAAAGCAGGGGAAGATTATATAGTCAAAAATGATAAATTAATGCTTTGCAATTGATGGCAGCCATTGCAATGCAACATCAACATTGATCGAACTTAATTCAATTCACCTCACATTTCACTCTCTTTGCCTCAGCCATATATTAGCCTTCTATAGTTCTATTCATCCTTATTAAATAGAAATCTACTATTTTTCAATTCGGTTAGGGATAGTTTGCCCATTTCATTTTTATATTAATATTAATACTAACAAATCCTGATCCTAGTTCAATTTATTAGGATGGATAGAGGTCCTAGGTTCAAGTTGTAGAAACAACTTCCAGGTGTACCCAAGAAAAATATTATGGACGATTAAGACACTAATTTATGAATTATAATAATTTAATGATGCAATGCAATAGATGAAAATGAAATAATAAATACCATTAACTTAAGGGAATTATTATAAATTGTATTTGAACGTATCAAAACTGGTGTTTGCAATTAACCCTCTAAATAAAATTCCTTGGCTGGTCTGATAATCAACTTCCTATCCCAAAAGACAGTACTTAGCCAGAAGTTAACTAAAATACTTAGTGAAGATATGTGCATACCTGTAACTGATCTGCATAAGAAAGATAATTGAAAGGTATAATGGAATCATCAGCAAGGCGAAGGGCTAGAAGCCCCCATATTCCAGCAACTGATACAACAAAGAACAGAAAATATATATATACATCATCTTATGATTGACACATGGATTAACAAGCTATTGAACAATAAAACAATCCTTTTAAATGCATATTACAAGGGGTTAAACAAGAAATCTAACCAGCCACATGGCGCTGAAAGAATGGATCTCCAGACACAGTCATCCAGGAATAGGAGTCGAAAGCAGTGTGATAGACAGGAAAATCTGAAAAAAGAAAAAGAAAAAAGAAAAACACTACATTATTGAATACCCAGGGGCCAGGGCTATAGATAAATGACAGATTATAGACATTGGCATATAGAAGCACACTGGATACAAACATCTAATTCTTTTATTGCAAAAAATTATATGCTTAAAGAATCTAGGGATTGATCACTATAGTTCTGGCTCCTACATAATTATTATAGCTAGATAAATATCCAAATCCTATAATCGGGCTGCTACACACCAAGGTCTTCCACGTGATATCAATAAGCATTCACTAGCAAACATCAATAAAAGAATTAGATTGGTATTAATTAGTCCTGATTAGTAACAATTAGCATTAGCATTGATAGGGTTTACCTTAATATGCATTAGCATTTATTGGCTTTACCTATTACTATTTCAAATACTTGCTATAAAGGCTACAATGGCTGTTTGGAATAAAGAAAAATAAATCACTTCTTTCTACTCATTCTCCCAATCTCTTCTCTCCCTCATGATTAATCTCTCATTCTCTGCAGTTCTGCCCTCCTCCATAAATTCACTTAACAAGTGCTTTCATAGACTCTTGCCTCAATCATGCCAGCAACCTGTTCTCAATAGTACAAGGCTCAATTGCAAGCAGTGCAACAACTAGCCAGTGGCACGGCTGCCACTGTCAAACAATTGCACCAAGATTTACTTGCATCAAAAGCAAATCAACTAACAGTTGAGAGCCTCACAGCACTTTTGGACCAATGTGACCAGCATCTTGTAGCGGCTCTTTAACTGGAATCCCCACTTCTTCCTTCTCATCCACCCATTCGCAAGAGGCATTCTAGGCTGCAGACCACTAACAACCACCACTACAGCCAAGACAACACCATATAGCCCATCACTATGCCTTATGTTTCTGCGCATCTCTTCCGGGTTAGCCTCTATTTTCAATATTACCATACTCACCCACACGATCACCTATTGCTAGATGCAATACACCTCAACGCTCCCGCCACCACTTGCTATTAGGAATTGGCGGCAGAAAAACTTCTACCAAATTGGAATGCATTTGACCAGGCTATATGTCGCAGCTTTGGTCCCTTCGAGTATTAGGATCTCACTGCCTTCCTTGCCAAGATGTCTCGTATTGATCTATCCTCGATTACCAAGCCACCTTTGACAACCTTTCCAGCCAGGTTGGTTATCTATCTGGAGCATTTGTACAGCTTGTTTATCTCTGCAATTGCGAGTGTGCATGGCAGGCCAGGCTCATCAGCCTATGGACTTGCATGATGCATTTGCGATGGCACATATGTATGCTTCAACTCAGCTTGCCGCGCCTCAGCAACCAGCCATTTCAGCCACCACCCTCAAAAGCAACATTGAGGATGACTCATTATTGCCAGAGCCTGTCGAACTAGACCCACCTGAACCATTCACAAGCTGTGTCTCAACTTGAGGACAAGTCACATCTCCCTTGGGAAAGAATGTTACGCACCAAGGTCTTCACGTGGTATAAATTAGTATATAGAAGCTTCCATCAATAGAAGGATTAGATTGGTATTTAGTATCAATTAGAATTAGCATTTATTTGCTTAACCTTTTTAGTATGCATTGGCATTTTACCTTTTAGTATTTCAAATCCTTACTATAAAGGCAACAATGGCATTATGGATTAAAGAAGAAAAAATTACTTCCATTAAATCATTCTCTCAATCTCCTCTCTCTCTCTCTCTCAATCAATCTCTCAGTCTTGCCTCTCTCCCTGCTTCACTATCATTTCTATGCAATTCTTCCCCCTCCAGAAATTCGCTTAACAGTGATAGCCAGAAACACAAGGACCATTGAAGTTCTGAGCCATATTTTATATGAAAAAACGTCAACTAACATGACAGAATTCCATGACCTCAGATCTAGTGACCCAACCAAAGAAACCATGAAAGAAATTGAACCTTAATCGACCTCACCAGAAACTAAGTGCCTTTCAAATCCTGGACTAGCCTCCTAAATGGCCCAAAAGATACATTAAAAAATTAAAATTTAGTGGCACAAAATGCATACGTGTGTATGTGATATGAACCAATCATTCTACTCGAAACATTGGCATGACTTTTCCATAAGTCATACAGAACCCTCTTGTTCATCTCAATGAGGTATGTACCTCTTCCATAATACACATCAACTGATGGAACCCCTGCATGGTGCACAAACGGGGCAAAATCAGAATCAACTCTACTGAGCCTCTGAATCTGCAATCAATGAAGGAAAAATATTGGTTGTAAGTGAAACAGCATTTACATTACAGCTAAAAATCACTTCTCATATTAAAAAAAGATCATTGACAAGTAGAAACAAGTGCTCTACATTAGAGTTTCCACCAGCGGCCGCCCAATTCTTATATATCGTTGTACCCTCAGTGTCAGGATCCTTGATCTGCAATAAACATATATGGCAATTAATGTTCAGCATTAAGCACATACCAGGAGCAACTATATTTGAAATAATAATATAATATCCATATGAATGCTTGCACATGCACGTATAATTACTTCAAATACCTCTTTTGTGACCTCAAGAAGGAGATTATCTAGCTGAGGAGTTGAGCCAGCAAAGAAACCACGCCCTTGAACAGCACAGTCTACGTTAAGGTATGCCACAGCTTTGGAACCAAGATTAACAAGGTTTTGCTCAACCCACTCAGTGGATCCAATCTACATAAATGGATAAACCTGATTTAGCAAGCATATTACAGGAAGCAACACCATAATTGAAATGAAGCAAACTCGTCTAATTCGATAATGTGCATATCTGGCTATAGCAAAAGCACAAACTAAGTTTTAGAGATATATAAATCCATTAAAATAACCTTATCTAAGAGCTTAAACTTTTGGATTAAATTGGTTCTTTATATAGTATCAAAGTCTTGATGTCACGGGTTCGATCATCACCATCCCCCATTTAATTAATAATTAATTAAGTCTTATGGAGTATGTGCATTGTCCATCCTTCAATCCCAGTGAGCTCTCACGAGAGAGAGAGCATATTAGAGAATAATATAAACCATTAAGAAGGCTCTCCCAATAACTTAAACTTTTGGGTTGAATTAGTTCCTTTGCACTAAGCAATAAAATTAAAGTGATAACAGCACATTATAACCATTCCAAATGATAAATGGAGATAGAAGCACTATATGATATCTACCATTCCAAATTCTTCAGCATCCCAGCTGCATAAAATGATGGTCCTACGTGGAGTCCACCCTGACCGCAACAGAAGAGAATATCTACGAGCAATGTCAAGTAGAACAGCTGTCCCACTGCTAGGATCAACAGCACCATATGTCCATGCATCTCTATGGTTCCCTAACAGAACATAACGATCAGGTTCTTCCATTCCCTTTATAACCGCAAAAACATTTTCAATAGTAGCCACCTTCTTTTCACCCTAAAAAACATATAAACATGTACATCAAAAAATCAATATATTTTTCAATATTGAAACCATACCATAACAGACATGAATAACAATAATAATAAATTGGATACAGAAAAAATCATAAATTTTGGTCAAAACCTGATAACTAAAATTGAGGAGTGTGGGGCCAGGACCAACATTCCTAATACTGGAGGACTTTAGGGTACTCCTCCATTCCGAGGGCACAGGACCACCACCAAGGGAACACAAGACCCTTTCAGCAATTTCAGAAGATAAGGGCAAAGATGGAATTTTGGGGAATCTTTTCAAAACCTCACTATCTTCCAAACCCAAACTCTCTCCTCCATTGACCCCACCCCAACCAGGGCTCAGTGGGTCCCCTATTCCACCCCTCATGACGTGTCCACGCTCAAACCCCTCTCGCCACGTGTCACCGTCGGTGAACACCAGAACCGCCGCCAAACCATACTTCTCCGCCGTTTCCACCACCGCGCCGCGCGACAACCCGCCGCCGCTCCTCGCCACCGCCACGCACCCGGAGACGTTCACCCCCAGCGCCGCCAGGGCGCGGTAGTCCTCCTCCCTGCCGTGGTTCACGAACACCGCCCGAGCCCGAGCCGAGCCGGACGGCGAATACGCGTGGTACGGCGGCACCACGCCTTCCGGTCCGTACCGGCCCGGTTCGGCGAGGATGAAATCCGAAGTGGAGCCGTCGCTAAAATGCGCCGAGAGGGACGAGCGCACGGGGTAGGAGAGGAGGGCGTTGTAGGAGGCGGTTCGGGTTCGGAGTCCGAGGTTGTTGAAGTGGTTGAGGACGTAGCGGGTGGTTTCGGAGGCTGGTTTTGTTCCGGCGAGGTGAGGGTGCATGGTGAGGGCGCGGAGGTAGTCGGAGATGGTGGAGTTAGAGGAGGAAGAGAGGAACACGTGGCGAAAGCGTGACGCTTGCCGGGAAGTGGAAGTAGAGGAAGGTGAATGCAGGGAATAGAAACCCAGAATGCCGAGGATAAGAATCACCACGAAAGTCACCAGAGGAGAGGTTTTTCCGGTGAAAACCTTGATGGGTTTTAACAGAAACTGAACCATTTTACTGTTTAATGAAACGGTTACAGGTTACAGGTTACAGAATAGAAAGAGTAAGGAAATGAGTAAAAAAAAGTGAAGAAGAAACAGAGGAGGAGACACTGTTTCTAGGATGAAACGAAGAGTGTTATTTAATGTTGCAGTGTCATGGACTCATGGTGAATGCTGTATATATTGATGTTTTCAAATATAACATAATATAATATAATAAAAAAACTATTTATGCCGAAGAAAATTTTCGATGCCACACTCGCGTTAAAATGTTCCATTATAATGAGATGAGAAAGAAAAAGATAATAGGATTTTTTCATGTTTATGTGAATATAGCATAAAAATATTTTATAGTAATAATAAAAATACTAAATTTATATATAATATAAGATATAATGTAAATGGAGGCTATTCGTAGTATTTCTTTAGCCTTTTCCTCTTATAATCATGTGTTGGATCGAAATCAAATTATCAAATTCGTAATTTGATTTTATCCGACCATAATAAAATGATTGTAAAAAATCCTAAAAAATTATAAGTATACTCTATTTCTACAGTATAAGCGGAGTTTATTTGTGAGAGCTTGAAACGCATTGACCCTCATTTTTTGTGAATTATGTACAAGAGTAACGCCTTGAATTGAATTAATAAAAAAATTGGGAAAAAGAAATGAGAGTGTATACCTTCGCATCCGCGATACTCCGTAGCAATATCAATGTTATTTCCTTATCCTTATTTCTTTTTTATACTTTTATACCGTTCCTTTTCTTTATGGGATTAAATAAAAAGAAAAAATTCACTTTTTATATAATAAGTAAAGATAAATGTGTTTATCGTGTTTTATGAGATAATTTATCTTATACACTCACAAAATATAAATAGGATTCACTTTTTCTTCTTCTTTTTTTTAATCGATCTTACTCTCTTTTTTTAACACGAAAAACGTATTCCTATAAGAAAAGTAAAAGGCGAAAAGCACATGTAAAATACAAGAATAATGTTTTATACATAATACATCCCTATCATACTTCTTATATTTAGCATAATTTACTTATTAGACTTATTCCTTGTTCCAATTTAAGATACTAATTTGCCCTTCTTGAAATATACTTTTGAATCTTTCCCCCTTTTTTTTCTTTCCAGCTTGAATTTTGTTAATGAAGAACCCTTACTGATGTAACCTCTCCTAATTTCCTAAACCATAAAAGAGCTATTATATAACTTGTTTGAAATTTTAAAATTTTAAAATAAAAGATCTATCTTGGGCCGGCAATTCTCAACCTAATATGATAATATGAATAGAACACAACTACGAATGGAATTTTCTGTGACCGTGTCAATCAGGATTTGTGTTCATGTCAACCAAAATTTTTGAGATAGAATAAAGGCTTTTTGACCGTACTAGTTTACAATTTAAAAATTTGACCGAATTAAGTTTTTGTTCAAATTTATTATTAAACTAATGCAAAATGACATATTTGTCATCGCGTTAAGACATGCAGCATCTGGTACCATATTATACGTAATTCGAGCTGTTTAGACGCAATAGAGTCAGTACCGCGTTTGACCCTACAAAGATGTACCACCTAGACTAATGTGTTTATGGTGTCAGACGTCAACATCATTCCCATAGACAGACGGTTTATGGTGTCTTTGTAGGGTCAAACGCAGTACTGACTTTACCACGTCAAAGCAGCTCGAATTACGTGTAACACGGTACAAATGTTGTGTGTCTTAATGCGGTGATAGTACTAACATGTTGTTTTGCGTTAGTCTGGTAATAAGTTTGACCAGGAGTTTAATTTGGTCAAACTTTTTACATTTTGAACTAGTATGATCAAAAAGCCTAGAATAAACATTATCGTGTTAAGGGTATTTATATTCATGCTTAGCTGTTTAATTTAAACAGCTATATAATTACAAATCTAATCTCACATATCGTATTTTTATTTATTAATTATAGATTATTTATGCGATTTTTATTTTTAAAATAAGATATGCATGTTGTGTTATGTCAACTTACATAATAAATGGGTAGTATTAGTGTCATTAATAATTTTGACATGAATAATTATTCAAGTCATGGTCTAGTTAATGATATTTATATTGGGGTTTATGTCCCTCCTGGGAGGATACATTTGTTTCCTGCACACTCACCGCTTTTCGTGCCAAATATTTTGATTTTTTTTACTAAGTGATGGGACCCCCTTCAAAAAAAACTATGTCTATTGTAGGAGGGATCAATTTTCCTGTTTCAGGACAATTGATTTTCCCATTTATATTTATGTCGAATTTGTGTCCATTCAAATTGTCAATTCTAAATTCATTAATCTAGACTTTGATAGGAATTTTTCTTAATTTAGTCATTTCCCATTAAAACTTTAAAATGAAGTTCCTAATGTAAATTTTATGGTGTGAAAATATGATATGCTAAAACTAATATGGTTTATACTTGGAATCTTCCAATTAATTACGAGTTACCAACTAATACTCATAAGTTAAAGAAAACCCCATAATCAATGAGCGCAAAGTTATGGAGTCTGAAACCAATATATATGCTTCATTTCACATAAATATCTGGAATAAATTTTAACATATTTTCATCCAATAATAGAACTTGATAATGCACTACTAGAAGATGCGCAAATAGCGAAGAAAATTTATAATGGCAAACTTTCCATCCAAATGGCGACGGAAGTTGCGGTGGTACATAATTTGTGAGGGAAATAGGTCCAAACCTCCGTCGCCATATTCCCGTCGCCAAAACCATCTCATTTTCGACCCAAATTTGTCGCAGATAGCGAGAGCTTTTACATCCATCGTAAAATATGTGAATACGACAGAGTTTTGCGAGGGAATTATTTACGACGACAAAATTCATCATAAATCTGGGGATGAAAAACTGCGACGGTGATGGGATTTTAATCATTATAAATTGCGACGGAATTGGCATTGGTAAGGTTTTGCGATGGAATTTGCAACTGAAATATTGAAAAATTTACGACAGATATGTATTTTGTCGCAAACATTGAAAATTTTATCCATACATTCAACTTTGAGAGAGTTGAATCAGCATAGCAATTACAGTGATTTAGATATAAGTAGGGGAAGAGTATATGGAGAAGATGCAATGTAGGAAATGTTCCGTTAGAGGATTTTGGGTTTAAGCGCTCTAATGGCGGCACCATTGTTGCAAATTCGACTCAAATTTGACTCTTGGAGTTGATCAATGATGATTATATGTCTTTCCTAATGGCAAGGAAAATAAATAACTTCGAAACAGTCATCCACCAACATATAGTGAAAATTGTGCAGTAGGACGCATCCGTAGATTTGTGTGCTCAAATTAATAAATAAAACATGCATTATCTTTCATGATATGGAGTTTAAGATATTGGTGAAGTAGCAGTTGTCATGCCAAAATCAAGTGAATCATTATAAATTATTATGCTAGAGTACGACATTGTCATTATACAATGATAATATCCTTTAGAATGATCCTACATAGCTCCTGTTTCTTATTCTTTTGCCATTATAGAACATCTTGTCATAGATAAAGATATATCAGAAGAGATATTGGACAAAATATAATAAAGAAGAGAAGATAATGAGAGTTAACGTAGCGAGAGAGGGATATTAGTTCTATGTGAAACAATAGAGGTGATATTTTCAAAACAAACTTGTTATCAGGCATTTCATAACAAACAGGGATGTTGGTATATGAATTTGGTTTGACTCATTTATCATTAATTTGTATGATTTTAGGAATAGACATATCAATTGTGCCATTTTTATGATTTTTGATATGAATGCTTAAATCCTTTTGAGAAACACCAAGGAATTAGGATTCTCTTAAGGGAGTAAAGAGTTAGAATGTCAAGGGATTGTGTTTTAACTAATTTAGGAGAATTGATAGGCAATATAAAAAAGGCAATTAATTAAGATTTTAATTCATAACATAAAGGGAAAATTGAGGGAAGTCGAATCCCTAACTAAGTTTCTTGATTGTCAAGTATTTCAAAATTTACCTTCTTTTTTGTTATTTAGTTTGGTTTTCATACAATATTTGGGATCAAATTTCATTCAATTCTCTTGATTGATTGTCCAACTTAAGCGTAAATATCGAATTAGTGATTAAAATTCTAATCCTCGTGAAAATGATATCGTACTCAGTATACTTTATTACTTTTATGACTAATGCACTTGCTGAAGTCGCAACGCATGTCGCTGTAAAAGAGAGATTTAAAATACATGTATGATCATTTTCTTCTAATTTAACTAAGCTCATAAGTCAAATACTGACTAGAGCGCCAGAGTGCCTTGCATGTATCTAACCTTATTTGTCCCAGACAATTAGACTTATCCAGCATCAGAATCATCATCTCGCAGATACCATCCTGCATAGCAAATCAACAAATCTTGTCATAATCCTCATTCAATTACCACTTGGATCAGACTCAACTGTGTATGATCAAACCAAACTCCTCTCGGACTGATCCATTAACATGCCATATTAGAGCTGGTTATATTAGGTTTAAAACCCTGCTTTAATTTTATAAAATTCACAAATTGGTTAAAACTTAGGAATATAGGGTTTTCAAATTTAATTGTGATTCAATAGCTTAAACTTTTTTAAAATATCGTTTCTTAGCATAATATAAAGTCTATATGATTATGTGCTTTTAGTCTTTGATCTTTGTTGTTATAATTTTTAAATAAAATTTAAATTTTAATACAAGATAAGATAGATTATATATTATCGACAATCAAGCCGAACTTCCTTAAGAAAATTGTGCTCAATATACGATTATTTATAAGCTTTAAGGGAAAAGTGTCTATCATTTAAAATTACACAATTTACATCCTTTCACTCTCACAAAGAGGTGGGACCCACACTTTTATTTTTTTTTTCAACTCTCTCTCATTCTTTATCTATCTCTTTCTCTCTCTTAAAATGACACAATTTTACATCCTTTAAAATTATACACACTTTTCCCAAACTTTAATTAATACCTCTTTCTATTTTTCCAAAAAAAAGAAGAAAAAAAGTACATATATAAAGGGCTAGCTAGGTTTATACATATTTACACGTATAGCACTATTGTAATAATTC